CAAATGTGAGGAGCTAGGGAAGGAAAACTGAGAGGTTGTTACAGGCTCACCATAGACAATGGTATCTGCGACATGCAAATGATGCCCAGCCCCTTTGGGAGTTTACTATTTATTTTGATATTTGAATGTTAGAAATTTAAATTTGGTCTTCCTCTTCTAGCTATACTTTTGCTGACGGTTAACATGTACACAGTACCATTACTTTAAAGAATGAAGCGTGAACGGGTTCTGCACCCCTGTCGTGGTTTAGCCCCAGCCAGCAACTCAGCACCACGCAGCTGCTCGCTCACTCCCCCTACCCCGATGGGATGGGGGAGAGAATCAGAAGAGTAAGAGTGAGAAACACTCCTGGGTTGAGATAAGGACAGTTTAATAATTGAAATAAAGTAAAATAGTAATGATAGTAATAACAATATAATAATGATAATATACAAAGCAAGTGATGCACAATGCAATTGCTCACCACCCACCGACCGATACCCAGACAGTTCCTGAGCAGTGATCGCTGCTCCCCGGCCAACCTCCCCCAGTTTCTATACTGAGCATGATGCCATATGATATGGAATAGCCCTTTGGGCAGGTTGGATCAACTGTTCTGGCTGTGCCCCCTCTCAGTTTCTTGTGCACCTGGCAAAGCATGGGAAACGGAAAAGTCCTTGACTAGCATAAGCAGTACTGAGCAACAACTAAAAAAACATCAGTGTGTTATCAACATTCTTCTCATACTGAATCCAAAACACAGCACTATGCCTGCTACTAGGAAGAAAATTAACTTTATTCCAGCTGAAACCAGGACAACCCCCTTTCTGGTAAGCAGTTAGACAGAACTGTAATCTTAAGTACCTTTTCTTTGCATCTCTTGCCACCTTTTCTATTGAACACATTTTATGAAGCCAGTTGTCATTAAGTAATTTTCTTTTCTGTAAAGAATTATGAGTCCTCTATCATCCCAAAATTGAAATCCTACCTAAGTTGTGAAGATTTTCAGGAACATCACAGTATGTATTTTTTCTGCTCATTTAAGTCTCCCTTAAAGTAGAAATGTTTGTCTTTGAAACTTTCAGGCAGTCCTCTTGCGCTTCTGAATGACAGGCACGAGGCCACCTGCACAGTGAATGCTGGACTGTAAGAGCAGGGTCTCATCTGCCCTGTCCTTGGAAAGAAAGATGGCACAGCAGAACTGCAGAGTGCAAAAGGAAGGTTGTGAGGCTACACGGCAGGGTCAGAGAGGTTATGGAAAGCAAGAAGGTATCCTTTGAAAACCTGATGTCTGTATGCAAATGAAGAAAACAGAAAGGATCATAAACTCTGGCAGATTAAATGCAAAACTGCACAATTAAGGGTGAAAAAGAGTTTAAGGGGCACTTTGCAAAGGAATCAAAACCAAC